ACAGATAGATATATAGACAGACAGACAGACAGACAGACAGAAAGATAGATAGATAGATAGATAGTAAGTTTGTTAGATAGATGACAGACAGACAGACAGACAGACAGACAGACAGATAGAGAGAGAGAGAGAGAGAGAGAGAGAGAGAGAGGTGTATGTCTATGAAATGTTCTATATATTAGTGCACATGAGGCTGTAACATTATCTGTGATTTAATGGACAGTTAAAGGTATCAAGGGGTCTCAGCAACATGGTAAATCGTGTTCTAACCAAGAGTTAGGTTGTATGCTCCCTTTAAAACATTGTGTTCTGTAGAACACAACAACCTCTTCTGTCAGTCAGAATGACGCGGGTGATGGGGCTGGTGATAGCTTATATAAAGACAGCAGATATCAGCCTCGGCGCCAAACACGAGCAGGAGCAGGTCTAGAAAACGTCAGACCATATTTCTGCCCACTTTGTTGTGCGTAAACCCTCTCACAGTGATGGAAATGACCAGACTCTCCACCGGCGCAGAGACCACCCCAGTCCCAGCTGCGCACCAGCTCAGCTGCTCTATAGATGCTTCCCAGTTTCATGGTAATATGGACGGACAGTGCGCCGGCTCCTCCAAAGTCATGGCTTACAAAAACGCATCGCAGCACCTGAGTTCATCGGGGATTAAAGCGGGTTTGGGGATTCTTAAAGCGGTCACGTCTCAGTGGAAACAGGAGAAGAAAACGCGCTCGGGGACAGCCGTGAGGCAGCTGTCCACTGCCAACAGCAGCCACCCCCACAAGAGATCCCCACTGGATCAGCTAGCAGCTCTGGTTCTCCAAGGTCAAACATGGCATCGTCAGATCGGCCAAGAGCACCGACAGGTCGCCCTTTGCTCCACCAAGCCGCAGAACTGTAAGCGCATCGTGGTTCTCGGTGCGCCACGGGTTGGCAAGACTTCCATCTTGAGAAGATACCTTCGGGACGGATTTGTGGAAGAGTACAATCCAACCTCAGAGGATTTCCACAGGAAACTGTTTCGTATCCGCGGGGAGACCTACCAAATTGACGTCTTAGACGCGTCCAGGGAAAGGGACTTCCCGGCCAAGCGGCGGCTGTCCATCCTCACTGGTGCGTATTGGCTCATAATCTCTCTCCTGCAAAACTATATCATTATTATCAGTTTTTATTTGGTTAAAAGAGAAGAATGAGGGCTGATTCGTTCCTGGAGAATGTATAGATGTAGGCTAAATTTAAACCTCAGGGATATAATTGATTTGTTGTTGTTTTCATTTTTGCAGGAGACATCTTTCTTCTAGTATTCAGTGTAGATGACCGGAGCTCTTTTGAAGAGGTGTGCGTCCTGCGAAGGGAGATCCTCGCTGCTAAATCCAAACTCACCAAGTCCTCGGTGCCAGAGCTGTGCGCACAGCTGCAGGTTCCCCTGCTGGTGTGCGCCAACAAGGTGGATCTCCAGGGGTCTGAGAGAGCGATACCAAAGTCAGAGGTGCTCCAAGCCCTCGGCGATGACTGTGTCTTATTTGAAACGTCAGCGAAGGACAGCACTAATCTAGAGAAAGTCTTCGAGACTCTGGCAAAGCGTGGCGGGCTTCCCACCGAAACCGGCCCGTCTCAGCACAGAAAAGTTTCCCTTCGTTCGTACCAGGCGATGCGGACTGGCCGTGCGATGGGGAGGGGGAGCCAGGCGCCAGGGCGCGACGACCCTTGTGGGGCCCTGCACCCGCTTGCTCGTCGGCCGAGTTTTAGCACTGATCTCCGGCAAGTGATTGGGCCGCATACGGCAAGAAAATCCGGCAAAGCACTGGAAAGGTGTCAGATTCAATGAGAGACACGCGAGAAACAAATAAAGCACCAATACTTACTTAAATATGAATTGTGTTATCGTTGTGTAATGACATGGACTTGAGATGCATTTTTCAAAATAAAACCTTGAATAGTATAGTATAGTGCTCTATCCTTTTGCATATAATATCTATCTATCTATCCAACTATCTGTCTGTCCATCCATCTATCTATCTATCTATCTACCTCTACTCTCTCTACCTCATCTATCTATCCATCTACCCATCTGTCTATCTATATAAGAATGTTGGATGTTAAGTCAAGAACTTTATTGTTTAATTTTATTTAGAAATCTACCTCTCTCCCACACTCCATCTTTCTGTGTGTGTGTGAGAGAGAGAGAGAAAGAGATGCTGGACTCTTGATCAGGAGTCCACAGCCTGAATCCCACACATTCTGAATAACCAGCTCAAAGATGTGCTTTCCTGTTGGCATATACCTTCCCATCCTACACTATACTCTATAAATGTCTTCTCATGTAGGCCCGTCACACAGTGGACTCCTCAACTCTGAATTCTCATGAATAGATGTCCTTGATCATTGTCAGCTCATTCTAAAGACACCTCTTGCATTGTCTCTATGAGGTCTGATCTCCCGAAGTGGAGCAGGGTGATAACAAAGACATGAATGGGATTAACCCAACAATATAATGGCTTAATGTTCATAACAAAGCTATCTTGCAACCATTTACCTCTTTGCAGTGATTATGTGTGGGCTGCACTAACACTGCTGTAAAGGTGTTCTTCCTTGGGCTCCACTTCTGAGTTCACATTGAGAAT